AGTAAAGAGATACACTGTCAAATAGAGAAAAGAAAATATTCTTTTAATTACATATGTGCAATATTGTTTTATGTTTATAATTCAAACTGCATTGCCTATTATGCAATACTGAAAATTTTCACATTTATTAAAGGAATGTCCAGAGTAATTTTAATTTTTCTGTTCCTACCTTTAAAACTTCACTGATTCTAATACACTACTGCAATGAACTGAATGATTATGTGCTGCCAAAATTCCTATGCTGAAACCTAATCCTCAGTATGATGGCATCTGGAAATGGAGTTTCTGGGTGATAACTAAGTCATCAGCATGGGCCCTTATAAAAAGGACTAATGCCCTTAAAAAATACTCAGGATAACTCTCAACTCACATTCTGAGATGTGAGGATACAAAGAGAAGACAGCAGTCTGCACCCTGAAAAAGGATCTTAAAGAACTCAACTATGTTGACATCCTGATCTTGGGACTCCAGCCTCCATAACTTTGAGAAGTAAATTCTGTTTCTAGGTGTTATAAACGATCTAGTTTATGGTATATTTTTATAGAAGTTCAAGCTGATTATGACAGAAATTTAACAAAAATTGGTATAAAGAACTATATTATAAACAAGAGAAGTAGGATTCCTTATACCTTACGTGGTTTAACTGGATAGATGGCGTTGTCATTCACTAAAATAAGTAATAATAAAGACAGAAATAGGTGAGGCTGGCTTAGACTGTGTTGAGATTTTTATTTCAAGAGTAATATAGGGTACTTCTAAAACATTCAAAGAGACATATAAAACAGGGAAGAAATATGAGTGAGAGCAGTAAATGTGGGTCATTTCCAACATATCTAAGGAAAGACTTAGGGAAAAGTTACATAGCCTCAGGTGTGCCTTCAGTAACTCTAACATGGATTGGCTGAGTACAAGAGATCTGTGTCTGCAGAGAGAGAGAGAGAGAGAGAGAGAGAGAGAGAGAGAGTAAAAAAGAGGAGTAGCTGACATCCTGAGTTCCAATGATCAAAAAAAGAAAAGAAGCATGAAATCAGTAAATCTTTAGAGTTCAAGTAAGCTAGTAGCTACATTTAAATACCAATGTAGAAGTCATTGGTAATCTAAGAAACACCTATTTCTATAGTGATAGGGGAAAGGCAAGGATAAAGAGAGACAGAGAGAGAAAGAAAGAGAAATTTCACTAGAAAGTGAAATGAGTGAAGACAATTATTTGTAGAAAAAATTTTTTTATTTATTAAAAAATAAAAATTGAAAAAGAAGATTAAAATAAAAGAGGGCATAACAACACAGGTCAGAACAGAAAAATTTAAGCAACATAGTGTTTTACCACAAGATAACCCAACATAACAGTAGTTACCATAGTGTCTCTTTCCTTTAAATATTTGAGTATATCTTCGTATACTATAACATCAAACTTATCAGGACAGTGTAAAACCATTCAAGAGAATGAAAGTATTACAGGCTATTTAGAACCAACTAACAGAAAATGAACAATGGTTTCTATATCATTTCCTTGTCTATAGAAAGTTTTGTTTATACTACTACATATACTAAAATCCAGCAAGATACAACATGATGAAACCAATGAAAACAAGAACAAAAGCTTGGTGGGACTTCAAAACAAGATGATATTAAATCAGCACTAGTTTTATGATGTCTTGTTTTCTTCAAAATAGCTGTTTATACCATCACAGACAATAATATCAAACAACCCAAAATAAAACGATTCCAATGAAAACATTATAAGGCTTCAAAGCAATATAATGGGGAATCATAATTACCACAAACTTTTATGCATTGTTATCATTTCTTACACTAGGGAAACTATTCAGTATTTATACCTATGAGTTTGATTTATTTCACTTATGAGTATGGTCTCAAGCTGCACCCATTTATTTATAAATATCTCAATGTGATCCTTTTTTATAGCTGAGTAGTACTCCATTGTATAAAAATACCACAACTTTTTTTATCCATTCCTCAGTTGATGGACACTTAGGTTGTTTCCTAATTTACAAATTGTGCTGCTATAAACATGGGGGCACATATATCACTGTGGTATGATGTTTTCAATTATTCTGGGAATATGCCCAGAAGTGGAATAGCTGGGTTGAATGGGACTTGCAATCCCAGCTTTTTGAGGTATTTCTAAACTGTCCTCCATAGTGGTTGCACCATTCTTCACTCCCATCCAACAGTGCCGGAGAGTTCCTTTACCCCACCAGCCTCTCCAGCATTTGTTGTTGGTGGCTTTCTTGATCCTGGCCATTCTTTCAGGAGTGAGATGGAATCTCAGTATAGTTTTAATTTGTATTTCTCTAATGAGTAATGATAAATAACACGTTTTCATGTATTTATTTGCCATTTGTATTTCTTCATCTGAGAAGTGTGTATTCATCTCAGATGCCCATTTTTGGATTGGATCTTGGATTTTGGGGGTCTGATTTTTTTTAATTCTTTATATGTTTTAGACAGAAGTCCTTTGTCTGAGGGACACTAAGGTTCACTAAGATTTTTTTCCCAGTTTGTGGGTTTTCTTTTCACTATGCTGGAGATTTCTTTTGACATGCAGAAACTTTTTAATAAGAGGTTATCCCAGTTATTGATTCTGGGAAGTATTTCCCATGTGGTTTGAGTCCTGTTAATGAATTCTCTACCTACCCCCCTATGTCTTCAAGGTTTCTACCAAATTTGTCTTCCAATAGATTTAGTGTTTCTGTTTTAATATTCAGATCTTTGATCCATTTAGATTTTAATTTAGTACATGGGTCTAGTTTTAGTTTTTGGCATATGGAGAGCCAGTTTTTCCAACACCATTTATTAAAGAGACTGTCGTTCTTCCAGTGAACCTGTTTGGATCCTTCATCAAAGATAAGGTGGTTGAGTGTGTTTGTAGTTGTGGTTGTATCTTCTAATCTGTTCCATTGATCTAATCTATTCCACTGATCCACGGCTCTGTTTTGGTTCCAGTACCATGTTGATTTTACTACAGTTGCTTTGTAGTATAACTTCAAGTCAGGGATTGTGATGCCTCCTGCCTTGCCTTTGCTGCTTAGAACTGTCTTTGCTATTCTATGTCTCTTCTCGCTCCAGATGAATTTTAGGAGTGATTTCTCTAGATCTATGAGGTATGTTGAAGGTATTTTCATTGGGATTGCATTGAATATGTATCACAGTTTTGGGAGAATGGCCATTTTCACAATATTTATTCTTCCTATCCATGAGCAAGGGATGTCTTTCCACCTTCTGAGATCCTCTTCAATTTCTTTTTTCAGTGTATCATAATTTTCCCTATATAGATCTTTCATTTCTTTCGTGCGGGTAATTCCTAAATATTTCATTTTTTTGGTTGCTAGTGTGAAGGGTGTGGCTTCTCTTATTTCTCTGTGATCTTGTTGTTAGGGTACAGAAATACTATTGATTTTTGAGTACTGAATTTGTATCCAGCTACATTGCTGAATTTATTTATTATATCTAGGAGTCTTTCAATGGAGTTTTGGGGGTCTTCTACGTAGAGTATCATGTCATCCACAAATAATGATAATTTAACTTCTTGTTTTCCTATCTTTACTTGTTTTATTTCTTTCTCTTGTCTAATTGCTCTGGCTAGTATTTCCAGTACTATATTAAATAGGAGCAGAGGTAAGGGACATCCTTGTCTTGTGCCTGATTTCAAGGTAAAGGTCTTCAGTTTTTGGCCAGTTAGAACAAATTTAAGACAACAGAAGCTAAGGCAGTTGTCGAGCGGTAGAATATGGAGATTAATAAAGAGTTATGGGGGTTGATGGTATAGTTCAACATAGAACACTTGCCAAGCATGCAGGAGGCTCTAAGTCAGATTCATAATAGTGCAAAATTAAATAAATTAATTTTAAAATGGGGAGGAGATGTTGGGGAAGTACAGGGAGGTGAAGATTGTTAAGTTTTGTTTCATTTTTGGAGTCTAGACAAGTATATTTAAAAGTAAGTCCAAAGAACCAGTTGAGAAGAAAAAGTAAACATAATACATAATGTAAATAATGTAAATTTTCTGAGAAAATAAGGAGTATCAGCATATCAAAAGCAAAGTCACAAGAAATAAATAAAGTGGATTGAGGACAAGCAACATCAATTAAAATACAGGAGAAGAATGAGTCCTAAAGTTGGTGGGTTTAGGCATGCCATTTTCCAAAAATAAAGCAACTGCTAATTAATGCTTCTAGTTTTGCAATGTAGAAATCCACCCACTGAATATAACAAAGGAAATACAGTAAATGGATATTTGAAAACTTGTGCAGAAAGTAAGAACAAGTATAGATCAGCAAAAACCATTACAAATCCTTTGAGAACCTTGATAAATCAAACAAGTTTTGTGAGTATAATAGTGAGAAATATAGATGGGTGAGTCTGGATTACAGACACCAAACCAACTACTACTATTATAGACTGAAGCTGCTACCAGTAAGATTAGCAGTTTGAAATTTAGGTGAAATTTTCTATTTTCAAGCAACAAAAAAGATGTCATCTTGAAACACAAAAGTTTAGTAACATAAAGTAAAAGGACCCAGCAAGATCAGTAAGACACACAACAGTAGAAAAAATCATCACAGGAAACCTCAAAAAGACTTTTATAGGTAAAACAGATTGCTATCTGCTAATTAGTTTGTCTGTTCCCTTCTAACACAGTAAAGCTCATTTCTAACATAATATTGGTCTGTACTTTTTAAGCAAAGAAATTTACAGTGCTTCTGGTAAAAATAGATGTGAGAAAATAAAGACAGCTTTTAACAAAAGATTCTTCAGAAAATACTTCAAACTGCTTTAAACATAAAATCACTGTAGTATATTTATAAAAACACACTTTCACAGAATACTAGAAAATAAACTACATAAAGTTTTAAACTTAAAAAAACTTTCCATTTTCAGAAATGTTACACCTATAATATCATGTAACTGACATATTTCCGTAAAACTGGATCAATTAAACTTTCTACCTTCAAAACATTTTTTATTTTTTTGCTCACTCAGACTTCTTTATACAGGACTTAGAAGATTCTTCAATTCTCTTTTCTAGCTCCAGGACAGCCTCTTCTTTATTTAACAGCATCTGCTGTGTCTGTATAAGTTCTTCTGCTAAATTTTTCAACCTACAATGAACAATTTCAACATTATCAATCAATACATCAACTATGTTAACTTTATGTCAAAAAAATTTACACACCTAAGGTTATGAACAAACAAGGTTAAGAACAAAACAAGAGATACATACAATTAACTTAAAACTGAAATTTCAGTTCCGTGGTTGCAACAGTCATATCTCAAGTAGTTGCTTTATTGGTAGGCACAGAAAACAACATTTCAATATTCACAATAAGTACTCTGAGTCAGTATTGGTGTGGAGTATTACTTCTTCAAGCAGATAAAGACAAATGGAAACAAAGCACTAAATACAAAATAGAGAACAAAAATAAATGATATACCTGTCATATCCCAAAAGTATACAATGGGAAAACCATGTTTTGTGTTTTCAGACAAGCATATGTTCATATTCCAGCTTTGCTACTTTTTGTCTGAGACTTTGTACAAATTACGAAACTCGCTAATTCCATTTTCTCACTGATAATACCAGTATAGTAAGACTGCCTTGTAGCACTGTTTTAAGGAACAAATGAACCAACATACTATATATTTAACGGCTGGCATTTGGTAAGCACTGAATTAATACAAACTTAAAATTTGCATAGGCTATCTCATTTAACTTTCATCACAATCCTGAGATAGATACTATTAAACTTATTTTAAAGGAAACAGAGTGAGGCAGACTGCAGAGGGAAAGAATCAGGCCCTAAAGGAAATTGATCCCCACCCGGAAGCCAGTGCCACACGTGGGACGCTGCCAGCTTGGGGAGAGCCAGACCCAAGCTTCTCTCTGTGAGCCAACACCATTTGCAGACTGCAACTGCAGAGGGAGAGAACCAGGCCCCACATTTTCATTTGTTTTGTTGGGTTGGGTTTTTATTTTCTTTTGTTTTGTTTATGTTAACTCTGATGGCATACCAGATATTTAAAAGTTAGCAAGACATGTTATGGAAGTATTTACTACTAGCTTTTTTTGATGTCTTTTATTGCATTCACTGTTTTGTTTTTATTGTTTCTATTCTATTCTGTTCAGTTTTTAGTACGTCTAAAGTATTTTGAAAACAACAAAGGCATTACAGTAACTATTGTTGATTTCATAAGGTTGGAAGTCCTGTGTCACTTATTCTGGTTTATTTTGATTGATTTTAATCTGTTCCTTGATTTTCCTCTCTTTAAAATTAAAAAAAAAGTGAGACTCAATTATGTGGCAGTTTGACAGTAAGCTATTTCTAAGTCCCTATGTTATAGTAACACTGTAGAAAAATATTCTATATAGATTTAAAAATAGTATTATACACAAAATGAGTATGTATACACAGACCACATAATTTCTTAGCTTTCACAATTTTGAGAAGTAAATTTCTGTTATTAAAGCCATCCAATTCTATTAGTAATTTGTATGGCAGTCCAAGCAATATATATCAGCATATATTTGTATGCATGTATCTATATGTGAATGTATAAAAGAAAAACAAGATTACACAAGTAAAAAGTTTTTAATCAGTGCTCTGATAGGCATGGAATTGGAGTATTATATGACTTTTGACCCAAAAAAAAACCCTTTCATAGTTGACTCATACCTAAAATGGTTTAATCTCACAGTAAGAATGAATTTAATTTTTAATTATTAAACACTAAATTAACAAAAACATAAAAAAAACATACAAATCTCAATAGGTTTCTGAGGGTATGAGGATACAGTAAAACAAAATCAGTGATGTTTATACTAATAATCCAGAACAAATAGAACAGAGTCAGATTAATGTGATGATTTTTTCCTTTAAATATAAATAAGGTATTTTCAACAAATTTAGGAAAACTATGCTTTTGAATATGATGGTAAAACAAATCTTGTTATCTGGAAATTGACTTGCATGGAAGAATTCATATTGTAAGTACAATATAAAGAAATCATTATTACATTAAAATCATATAAAATTATATTTATCACATTACAATTAGAAAACAAATAATACAATATATGATGCTGTTTATAGAGCTCCTGCCTTATACATGATCTCATTTAATGAAGACAGTACACACAGGGACCTGTCTCGGAAACTATCACTTTCCACTATCAATCTAAACCAGGATGTCAGCACAGTCTTAGCCACATTACATCACTGTGAGTTCAAAACAAAGCTGCTTCCTACATTTTTCTACTTTCTTCTCCTCTGTTCTATACTTTTCTTCTTTCCTGTATGATCTATTTCTTATTCTGTCTTTCTGACTTATTTTCTACCTTCTTAACATAGGCATCATTCATACAAGTGAATCTTTACTTAAGATATTCCCTGTGTCATTCTGTTGGACACCATAGCTACAACAATAAGCAAGTCTGTATTAATTTAGTTTATTTACAGGTGACATAATCACCGTAATAATAGTTTGCAATTTTCAAACTATTATTCCACATCATGCTGTTAATACACATTTTCTGTGCAGCTGTAACAATTGTTTAATGGCTTGTTCTTTATATTTTTAAATGAAACATCTTGGTAATGTAACACAAAATAGTTAAATATTATAAAGTAATAGCAAGAAAAAGTCTACTAAATGACATAATAATTGCCACTTACAGAGTTCCAGATACAGTTTTAAAGCACTTTATAAACAGGTACTTAAACGTGCTTCTTGTGACAAACTACTACTATCTCCATTTGCATTTGAGGAAAAAAGGTGCAGAGAACATAAAGATTTAGGGAAAGGTCACAGAGCTTGTCAAATGGAAGGCCTGGTAATAGAGCCAAAGCAGTGAAAATCTGAGTCTATTTTCTTAATTAATATTCTGCCTTAAGTAATTCTTCTAATAGAAAGTATCCTCTATACATGCTTCAACAAGTGCACAGAGGTATTTACTGAGGTATTTCTTAGAATCATAATTGCTAATGATGCTTACTCCCCTAAATTTTATAATAAGTCTTGGATCTCATGAAACTTGCATCTATACTTAATAGGACACAAGTAGAAAGGTCCATCAATAAAAAGCTAAATTAAGCAATTATATTACACGCAAGTAAACACTGCACAACATTAAGGAGTCTTTATACATGTTGAGAAAACAAGGTGATCAAAAAAGTATGCAAAACATCCTAGTAGGCCTAAGCCCATTTGAGTCCAAGAAAGGACCACTCATGGTAAGACCCTCAAATTCACAAGAGGCTGCCAAGTTTGTATAAGGGATACAGAACTGTACACAGCACTGCAAGGGAAATGTAATGAAAAGCCAGAAAACTGGTGCCGTTGGTAATAAAGGGTAAGCAATGTCTTGGCCTACACCTGGCTGGTCAAGGTGAATGAGCTGAGCTGTGACACAGACTTCCGGGAGCGCTCACTTTCCCTCAGAGTGTCCACGAGCAGTGTGCTATGTGGACATTTTGGTCTCTGTCTGCAGAACCACTTCCTTGTACAGCCCTGGAAAATATACCTCCTTTGTCCTTCAGAACACCCACAGGCCCAGTACCCATCCTGAATTCTACAATGGTATTTTGGTTACAGCATTAATAGTCTGGTGCTGTGTCATTCTGCTGAACAGCAGGTTTAAAGAGTCCAAAAAGACAAACTGTATGGTGGGGAAAAAAGTGGAAAGAATCTATCTAGAAGAAACCTAAGAAGGTTAGAAACAGACAGCAAGGCTTTGGAGGAAAGTTGAATCCATCTCTAATAAATACATACTCAGGAAAAAGCAGTGAATATAAGAAAATTGGAAAATATCTTCTTTTACTCATAGATCTTATTTGTCTTAAGGCAGCATCTTTTTGATATTTTGAGTTCAAAAGACAAGTTAGACTTAATTATGGGGGAAACTGTAGAAAAGAATTATCAATTTTATTAGTTTGGAAATCCTCTAGCAGAACTTACTGCTTGTGATAGCAGCCCATGTAAATCAATATGAAAATGATATTAGTATAAATTGTACTCCAGGGGCTGGGGATTTAGCTCAGTGGCATAAGCGCCTGCCTTGCAAGCAGGCAGTCGTGGGTTCGACCCCTGATACCAATAAAAACGAAAAAGACAAAAATAAACAAATAAATAAATAAATAAATAAATAAATTGTACTCCATCTGAGCAGAATATACCTACTGGAGAAAACCCCTATGAATTTACTGCATCTGGCAATAAATGTGGGCAAACATTTATTCACATGTCACATTTCATTGAGCTGAGAAGTCATGATGGATAGAAACCTGGTGCTTCTAAGAAGTACTGAAAAGACATTAGCTACATGACAGATCTCATTCAGTAGCAAAAATTCATGCTGTAGAGAAACCAATGAGTACAGTATAACTATCTTTTACTGGAGAGAAAGCTTTGTACTACATCTGATAAAACTCTCAAACTTTATCCCTTATCTGTATTTGAGAGACTACTTTATAATGTAAGACATACACAAAAAGCTGTATAATGTAAGAAGTGCAGAAATATCTTCATTCAAAAGTAAGCCCTCATTCATTAAAAAAAATCACACTAAAGGTAAACTTTGTGAATTTAGGAAAGCTTCCATTCTGATGTCATACCTCAATCGGCAGAGAAAGTGCAGTATGAAAAACCTCTTTGCCTGTAAAGTGTGTAGGAAAATCTTCAGCCACAAATCCAGTCTCACCAAGCATGAGCATTTTCAAACTAGAGTAAAATCTTTTGAATGTAATAAGTGTGGGAAAGCCTTTAGTCAAAGACATTAATCTCACTGATCTCATTAAACACTGAATGCCCACACTGGAGAAAAGCTTTTTGAATGTAATAGTTATGGAAAATCATTTATTCAGAAAGAAAATTTCCTTATCCATCAGAAAATTCATACTGGAGAGAACCTTTGTGAGTGCAAGAATTTTAAGAAAGCTCATCATTCAGAAGTCAAACCTTATAAGACACCAGAGAAGTCACATGGGAGAGAAGTCCTTCATACATTAGTATGTGAAAATTTTAGCAGTAAGTCAGTCTTATTGACTGTGATTAAATTCATTTTGGAATGAAACCCTTTAAATGCAATCAATGTGGAGCAGCTTTT